CTAGATGGCCTCTGAAGGGCCCTCCCAGCCCAAACCAGCCTGTGATTCTATGATAATGTGAAGAGGAAAAATGATCCAGCAAAGCCCAGAGGTTGGCTGTTGAGGTGTCCCCATGATGGGCGCAGTGCTGGTGGGCTGTTGTATCGCTTGCAAGGTGCAGCAAGGGTCTGCTGGGCCGGGGATATCCTCCACATGCCCCATTTTACACCTTGTCCTATGTGATTACCCCGGTCATGGCTGGAGACATGTCGAGCTGCCCGGACATTCACCCGGACATGGCTTTCCAGGTCAAATGTTACAGTGATCATCTGGAGAATGAGCTGAACCACCACGCAGAGCACTTTATTTTATGGGATCTTTACTTGCATTTGTCTGTCCAAAGAAGAGACCAGGTGATGGTCCCGTTCAGAGTAAGAAAGCTGGGAAATAATCAGCAAAACTATGGCTTTTTAATACTATGGCAGCCTTAGCTAAAATGTTCCAGTCTTCACCTCCTGCTGAGCTAATTATAGCCCTCATTCAATGCAAGAAAAGAAAAAAAGAAAAGAAAAAAGAAAAGGAAAGGAAAGGAAAGAAGGAAAGGAAAGGAGAGGAGAGGAGAGGAGAGGAGAGGAGAAGAGAGGAGAAGAGAGGAGAAGAGAGGAGAAGAGGAAAAGAAAAGAAAGGAAAAGAAAAGAAAGGAAAAGAAAAGAAAGGAAAAGAAAAGAAAGGAAAAGAAAAGAAAGGAAAAGAAAAGAAAAAAGAAAAGAAAAAAAGAAAAGAAAAGAAAAGAAAAGAAAAGAAAAGAAAAGAAAAGAAAAGAAAAGAAAAGAAAAGAAAAGAAAAGAAAAGAAAAGAAAAGAAAAGAAAAGAAAAGAGAAAAGAAAAAAGAAAAGAAAAGAAAAGAAAAAAGAAAAGAAAAGAAAAGAAAGGGACAGAACGATTCTGAGCATTGGCTCATATGTCTCCTCGTTCACCCAGAGCTTGTTCAGCTCTAGGGCTGGTAGATGCAGGGTGGGAAGCAGTCTGAAGGTCACATTAGAGATTGGAGGTTAAAGCAAGGAAGCATTTCCCCTTGGCTGGGGTTTGCCAATGCTGTAAATCCATCTTTAGGGCTCAGAAAAGCTGCAGCCACATGAAGCGAAGTGCTGACGTGGTATAAACCTGGTCCACTGTGATCCCGCTGGAGTTCTGCTGTCTGGCCAGAGACTTCTCCTGGCTGTACCACTCTCGCTTTACGTGAGCCCCTCTGCAGCTGGCACAAAGCCGGGCTTAAACACACCTAAACCCCGAGTGCTGGAGGTAATTTGTCAGAAATGCAGTTGTATGGCCGCTCCTGATCCGGTCAAATCTGGGAGACCCAGTAGTGCCTGGATTAATGAGCAGAACCACGGCCCCAACCTGCCCTTGGGCAGACGAACTGTGGGTGAGGGCAGAGCCGGCTCCGTCCCAAACGAAAACACTTGTGTCCAGCCTCCTGGTCACTCCTGGGCAGCAACAAGATGTCCTTCGTGCTGCACGCCCACAGCACCGAAATTCAGGTGCCTCCCCAGGTATGAGCACCCCCAGCTCCACAGACATCCGTGGACATCTTCCAACAGAGCGGTGGTGGTCCTGGGACCTCACGTATCATCATATCTGTACAGCTTAGCTGTGGTTTCCACTCGTCCCTCCTTGGAAATCACCTTACAGAAATCTCATTCACGTAAGAGGCTCAGACGTTAGCTGGTTGAGACAGTCTGAAGTCCTGATTTCCCAGTGGACGGCGGGACACGTCTCCCTCCTTTATTCCTCATGAAAGGATTTCTCTGGAAGTTTGGGATGTCTGAAATCAGTCTGTTCTGGTGAACTGTACTCTTGCTTTGAACCACGGCTCCAGCATAATCAGTGCTAAATCTCCTAATGATATACTGC